GTCACCCAAAAAACACCATGCTATTTTAAAGGAGATTGCATGGAAAGATTTTCCTTGTTTTTATAGGGTTCTAAGGCCCATATCTTTTGATCCACAACAGATACAGCCACATATCGCACCATTTTGGAAAGGGCAAATTGTGGTCTATGGTTTGAGATAACCCCATCATATTACCACTCAATGGAAAGGTATTTTTATACCCTTTAAACTGATACCCATATTATATTAACCGGATCCGTAGTACCGGATATAACCGGGTACCCGTAACCGAACTTCCGGGTCAAATAACCGGGTAACCGGGTACGTCCCCCAAGAAAAAAAGATATCCCCATAATTAGGGTAAAAAAACCTACCTCTGGAAAAAATTTCAGAAAAATTTGATCGTTTTTACTAAACTAGAGTTGTTCCGAGATGAGTATAAATATATAGCATAGAAAATGTGGAATATTAAAATAAGATAATTATGAAAGGTGTTGATAAAAGTGAGACAAAAATTCACAAATGTTTTTTTTTTTAATTTTATATACAGATCTCTGCAAAAAAATGTATGCTCATTAATTGATTTTCAAAATTTATTTTAATGAAATTTATGCTATTTTTATTGCCACAACTGTGTGTTGTTTATCGTAAATAATGGCCAATATCTAAATATTCGTAATTTGTCGTATAACTATATTTAGAATCATCAATGAATCCGCCTATAATGCAAACAACGTACTCAGCGAGACAGAGAGACAAACAATGTCCCGCCAAATGTTTAGAATGAATTTGGCGGCAAGTCGTTTTTTTCTTCTATTTGTTTTTATTTGTTACACAAAACATTTTAGTGGGTAATGTAAACAAGTCTACGTAAATATTATGATTTCGGAATTATTCTAAATATCTAAATATTTGTGTGCAAACAATAAATTGTTAATTATTTTAACAATCAAGGAAAGTAGTAAAGTCGGACTGTGCTAATCGGACAAACTTCAGTATACAATTTACATAAAATCGACCGAAAATATATTAGGTTGGGGAAAAAGAAATCCATTCTGAAAATGTCGATAAAATGGGAGAAATTATCGAAGTTGATCGGCACGTTAGTTGTCGTAACCCAGGAGGTAAAAATCTACCATAAACCATTTACACAAAGCTGGATTCAACAAGAAGCTCAATGTTTGGGTGCCATACCAATTAACAGAAAATAGAATGGATCGAATCTTTATCTCGTACCAAAGGATTATCGTCTTTTTCTTGCACTGCAAACTTTCTTTAATGGTAAAAAATTGGTATCTAGGAATTACTACAGCTTGTTGCAAATAAAGAGCAGAACTTCTATGAGAAAGGCATTATGAAGTTACCACTAAAATGGCAACAAATCATACAACAAAACGGTACATTCCGAAGCATGATAAATTAAATCCTATAGTTCATCTACAAATAATGGATTTCTTTTTCCCCAACCTAATATATGTAAGCTATATGTAAATCTTAACCGACTTTCATGAAACTTAACACACATCATTCTGGACTTAGTTCAGTACGCTATACTAAACTTCTTGCAAATCGAAAGAAATATAAGAGCTTCGGACGAAAATATATACAAAATATATATGGGAGCTATATTTAAATCTCAACCGATTTCAACGAAACTTAGCACACACCATTCAAAACTTAATTAACTATGTTATGCCAAATTTCGCGCAAATCGAAAGATATTATGGGCTTTGGTGCACCATTTACATAAAATCGGACGAAAATATATTTGGGAACTATATGTAAATATGAATCGATTTTCACGAAACTTAACACACATCGTTCTAGACTTAAGGCGGATTAAGTCGGATTTTTTAAAGATTCTTTTTTCAAGGTTCACCAAAGGATTGAAATGTTTAAAGAATAGTTTTTTTGTCATCTAACGTACCCAGGATTTTATTTCGAGGGGCCCGCTGGTTCAAAATGCAAATGCATTGCAAAAATGCATTTTTTGTATGAAAAAAAAACTCTGGGCAAAATTCCCTGTGTATGTCCCTGCTCCTCACTTGTGGTAAAGGATATAATTAAACAATTTTCTATAGAAAATCATCTTGATAACAACTTTTCTTTCGGAATTAATACCAATTACAATTTTTCTTTAGATAATCTCTCTCGCTAACAAGATTTATTTTATTTTATTTTAGTTTTTTTTTTTTATATTTAATAAAAGTATTTAAATATTGTGTGCTTAGATATATATATATATATGTTATTTGCTTTGCTATTTTCCTTTTGTTTTTTAAAATCTAACAACTACAAAAAAACACATGTTAAGGGCATTGTCCCAAAACACAATCAAATTAAATGCTTGTCGAACAAATAAAAAACCCATAAACAAAACAAAAATATATTTTAATCTATTATTTCTTAATGTTTATATATGTGTAGGTATGTTTGTTTTGTGCAAAATTCTATTGATAAAGCTTATATCAATTTATTTGAAAATCCAAAACTGTTCAATGTCCGTTTGCATTTAATTTGTATTGATACAAACTTTATATATATAAACATAAATTTATGCATGTGCAAACTATACATATTTATATATAAATTTATAAAAATACATATGTTTATATTTTTAAATATATGTATATTTAGAAATAAATTACGTATTTTATTATGCTCGAGAAAGAAGAAGGTGGCACTAGACAACAACATATTTTGTTTGTTTTATCACGAATCATAAAATGCATTTGATAAGAAAAGAGGGGGTGAGCAGAGAAAAAGGATTATAAAAAAAACACCCGGATACAGATAAAGCATTTAAGGGAAAGGTAACTAACAACTGAACCATGGAAGATTTAAATTAAAAAATGTTATAGCCGGTATTACTTATAAAATTTTTTTTTAGATTGTATGTAATTGTTAATATTTTCCACTGTAATATTACAATGAAGTTTAGAAATAAATATACTTCTTATAGGAGTAACTACTATTAGTCACCCGAAGCAAAATACCTTGTCACAATCATAGACTGTGGAATAGGAACGGGCGAAGAGAGGGCGGATTGCACTCTATGCTTGCAAGAACTCCATTGGGAAAAGCTGGGGGCTAAAACCATCGACTATGAACTGGTTGTACAACACGGTGGTTGGGCCCATCCTTTCCTATGGTTCTCTTGTTTGGTGGCACTACTTGCGCCATAAGTTGACATCCAGCAAACTATTCAAAACTATTCAAACGATTCTAATAACTGGAGCCACGAGAAGCTGCTCAGAACACAATGCTGAACTTAAAGCCTCTGTGTCTCAGCATTAAGTGTCAGGTAGAGCGTAGTGTCCTAAGGCTTCATGAACAAAATCTATGGCGAAATTGTACCTACGGGCATGGATATATCCTGAACGAACTAGGTATGACATTGGATCAACGCGTAAAACTAACGAACTGGGTATGACATTGAACTAATGCGTAAAACTAAGCGACTATATATCACCAGTCCTGAGATTTGACGATATAGATGTCGTTATCCCTAGTATAGACGACTGGAACCGTAGTAAACCTCCTCTGGACGGTCTGGCTTTTTATACAGACAGATCCAAGATGGAAGAAGGTACAGGGGCTGGCGTCTACTGTGAAAGACTAGTCCTTAAGCTTACCTACAAGCAGGATAGCAACTGTTGTGTTTTCCAAGCTGAAATCTTTGCTATTTGGAAGGCAGCGAAATTGATTAAAAGTCTGGATGCAGAGATCGTTGAACCGGTCACTATCTTTGTGGATAGTCAAGCGGCTCTTACAGCCATCAAATCCTGTAATATCAAATCTGAGGTCGTCCTCGAGTGTAGACCAGTTTTGGAAACATTAACTTACAGCTATCGGCTATGTTGGTTTCCAGGATATCGTGACATCATGGGTAATGAAAAAGCACAATAATTAGCTAGACGAGGATCTCAATCTACAAATCTAGCAATCGATTGTTAAATCAAACCACCCATCTGTCATCTTTTATCGGAACTTTGAGGCGTTCTTCGACGAACGAGCCAATGAACTCTGACACAACGAACCTAGGTGCAATGTATCAAGATCTATTTGGCCGACTCTGTCAACCAAGAGAACAAACTCACTGTTGAACCTGAGCAAAGCTGAAATTAGAGTAATGACAGGAGTCATTACTGGTCATTGCAATATCAGGGCCTTTATCAGTAAATGGGACCATGATGTTACGGATTACTGCAGACACTGTGCTGACGAGAGGGGGAGACGGAGACAGTTGAGCATCTCCTATGTCGCTATCCAGTTCTTATATACAGACTAGCAGATTCTCACTTTCCACTGTCTCTAAGCTTCTTTTCAACTATGGAACCTGCTTTAATCTACAACATCATTTGAAACCGAAGTGGTTAGGAAAGTGCAACCTTAGCTCGTACTATGTTTTTCTGGAAGAAGATATATGTGGGAGCTATATCTAAATCTTAACCCATTTTCAGGAAACTTAACACACATCATCTTAGACTTTATTCAGTGTGCTATACCAAATTTCGTTCAAATCGAAAGATATATAGGGACTTTGGTGCACCATTTACCTTAAATCGGAAGAAAATATATATGGGAGCTATATCTAAATATGAACCGATTTTTCCCAATTTCAATATGGTTCGCCAAATTTCTTCCAAATCGGATCATAAATGCGAATACTAGGACGAATCACAAAAATACTAGGACTGACAGGCGGACATGCATAAATCCACTCAGAAAGTGATTCTATGCATATTCGCAAAAGGAACCTAGACCCATAGTTTCCATATGCCTGTTACAAACATATGCACAAAGACATAATACCCTCTGTACCACAGTGTAGTGAAGGGTATAACAAGTACCGAATATTTAGCATTCGCTCATATTCACATGATTTATATATGTTTGTATATATGTACAAACAGGTATGCAATATGTCTGCAACAATAAAATTCTTATCAAATTGAAATACAAAAAAAAAAAAACGAAAAACGAAAACATAAACATAAAAATCCAATAACAACACTCACCTGTTAACAGCGGCTGTACTACACCATTCTGATTCATGCGGCCACGATCCATAAATTGTCCCGCCGTATTACTGCAACTTAATTCACGGTCACTCATATTGTTGTTGTTTTTGTTATTTTAGTTGTTGACAACTGCGACAGTACACACACTCTTAATTGTCTGTGTCGTATTATTGATGATGATAATAATGAATTTTTACACTGGCGTCTTGATAATATTTTTTCTTCTTCGATTTTTTTACAAATTATTCAAATTCAATTTTTTTTAATATTCTTGTTGCTTTCTAAATGGAGAAATGATAATAAAAAACAAACTAATTTATTTATTTCCATACAATTCTTAATTTAATTTCTTTTTATTCCAATAATAAAAAAAAAATCAAAAATTCTACAAAAAAAAAATTAAAACGGGGAATGATGTGACAAAAAAAATCACTCGTTTTTCCATCAATTCACAATAAAAATTTTTAAATATAAAAAAACAGCACACAAACAATTCAATTAGTAACAAAATAAAAAAAACTATGCGAATCGAATTGAATTACGACCGCCGTCGTTCACGAACACGTAAATTCATTACTGACCCACACTACCACCACACGTCGTCGTCATCCACACCACACAACGTTCCAGTTCAGCATACGATCACAAACTGATTTCAGTATTTTCAATACAGTTTTCTGTTTTGCTTCAATGTCACCACGACGACACCAAAACTCTCCTCAAGAGGCAAGCAAAAAAAATACCTACATACATACATTCATACAACAACAATAAATAAAAAATAAATATTGAAATAAAAAAATCGGACAGATAGACGACAGATCTTTCTCTTTTTTTAGCTTGTTTGTGGCTTATTACAAAACGAAACTCACTACGAAATAAACGAAATTGTTATTGTTGTTGTTGTTTTTTTTTTTTTTGCACAAAACAGATTAGAATCGCGTACAACAACAACAAAAAAGTACAACAGCAGAGACAAGCCCGCGAGCTAATACAGCTTAGTAGCTATGGACACCAGCAGAAGTAGCAATCGATTATAATATAACACAGTGGGGTCTAAATTAAATTGGACGAAAATATATATGAGAGCTATATCTAAATATAAACCGATTTTCTCGAGTCTTAACACACATCAAAATTCTAGACTTAGTTCAGTACGCTATGTCAAATTTCGTGGAAATCGAAAGAAATGTAGGTTCTTTGGTGTACCATTTACTTAAAATCGGATGAAAATATATATTGGAGCTATATCTACATCTGAACCGATTTTTAAGAAAATTTAACACACATCATTCTAGACTTAATTCAGTACACTATGCCAAATTTAGTGTAAATCGAGATATACAGGGACGTTGGTACATCATTTACATTAAATCGAACGAAAATATGTATAGGAGCTATATCTAAATCTGAACCGATTTTCGAGAAACTTAACACATATCATTATAGACTTAATTCACTACACTATGCCAAATGTCGTGTAAATCGAAAGATATATAGAAGCTTTGGTACTAAAATCGGACGAAAATATATATGGGAGCTATGCTAAATCGGAACTGATTTTCATGAAACACACATCATTCTAGACTTAATTAAGTACGCCATAAAAAATTTCGTGCAAATCGAAAGATATAAAGGAGGAGAGCTATATCTAAATCCGAACGGATTTTCATGAAACTTAACACACATCACTCTAAAGCCAATTCAGTACGCTATGCCATCGTGCAAATCGAAATAAATATAGGGACTTTGGTGCACCATTTACCTTAAATTGGTCGAAAATATACATGGAAGCTATATCGAAATCTCAACCGATTTGAATACATAAATTTGGAACTACTTCAGTACTCTGTGCAAAATGGTGTGCCAATCGGCCTAAAATTGACTCTTTGGTACACCATTTACCTAAAATCGGACGAAACTATATATGGGAGCTATATCTAAATAGGAACCGAATCCAACAAAACTTGACATACATCAATCTGGGTCTAATTTAGTACTCTGCGCAAAATGTTGTCTCAATCGGACAAATATTGGCAGTATTGTGCTCCATTTACATAAAATCGGATGAAATTATATATGGGAGCTATATGTAAATCTGAACCGATTTCAACAAAACTTGGCATGTATCAATATATACCTAATTCAGTTCACTGTGCAAAATTTTGTCTCAATAGGACAAATATTGGGAGTTTGGTGCACCATTTACCTAAAATCGGACGAAATTATATTTGAGAGCTATATCTAAATCTGAACCGCTTTCCAAAAATCTGGCTTAATTCAATACTCTGTGCAAAATTTTGTCTCAATCGGACAAATATTGGAACCATGGTCTATCTCGATTCTTTTTGCCTGTTACTATCATATGCACAAGGACATAATACTCTGTACCACAGTGTGGTGAAGGGTATAAAAAATAAACCTACATTTGGATTTACTTATAAATATATAAAACCAGTGAGCGGACCAGGGGCCGACCATATGATACCCTACCCAACTTCCACGAAAATCTAACTTTCTTTGGTTCTATATTCGGAGCTTGGGCAATATTTCGCGATATTTGAACCCCCTAGACCGAATAGAATTCAACAAATATTACTCATGTTCAGTACAGCCCTTCTAATTGGTTGTCCAGATTCCCTTCTACGTGGCTTGTGTTGTGATGTTTGTCTTATAATTTTAGCCTATAGATCGACTCGAAAAAGCACAAAAAATTAAATTGTCGGTCCAATTCATCCCAAAATTATTATCTGATTATCACCGAAAATTATAGATGTTGTCCTTGACCTTGGATATACCATCAACTTCTCCGGTCTATGTCTTTCAGAGGTAAATATATATGCTATAGAATACAATTGTTGTAATTTTTCAAAGTCGTTAATACGACCGTACCAAATGTTTGGTCCTAATCAAAAAATCTTAGGATCTTTATATAAGGAACATAGCAAAGAAGTAGATCTATGTCGACTATGTTTACCAAGGATATTTTGCAACCCACAAGCCACAGGGAATAGTAAATGACATTCACTTTTGAGGGCGAATTTTTGTAGCACATGGAAATATAGATCCCCAAAATTCTAAGACAATAGTCCGACAGCTGTTAAAATTATTCCAGTAATAGCTCATTATATTGTTTACAAGCATACAAAAACATTTTGGTGAGAATTTTCCAGAAAAAAAGTTTTTCGTGATGGAATTTAAGCGTCATAGTGTGATTTCTTTATATTTGCCTGGAAAACCACAAGTGGCTAACGTTAGAACACTCCAGCATTTAAATGTGAATAAATCTTTTGTGTCTCCTACCATCGCTCGTTATAGTGATACTGGTAGCGTAGCCTGACGCCAAGGAATTGGACGGAAGAAATCAGCAACATCAGCAGAAATGGTTCGAAAAATAAAGAAGCGATATGATCGAAACACGCGTCGTATAGGCCGGAAAATGGCTCGTGAACATATTCCATTCGGCGAATATTGAAAAGCCATTGAAATTCAAAAAAGTGCAAGAACTTACACCGCACACACAGAAAGAAAATAGACCAAAAGAGCTAAAGAGTTGCTTCGCTTAGCCGAAAGTGGTGAACTGCCGAATTTGGTTTTCTCCGATAAGAAAACATTCGTTGTCCAGCAGTTTGTAAACATACAAAATTATCGTGTTACGCTTGCCGTAAATTATCGCTTAATTTCCACCAAAATCTCCGGATACCAATCCGTTGGACTATTGTGTCTGGAGTATTTTGGAAAGTAAGGTTCGCACTTAAAAAATACCAAAGTGTTGATCACCTCAAGCAAGCGCAGAGCAACATTCGGGCAACCATAATTCGTGCCAACGGTGACCAATTCGAACAAATCTAAACTTTGATCCTATTTCCGACATTATTTGCTTTCATTCAATAAAATTAAAAAATTAAAAATTATGGCGTTTGACTTTGTTGCAGTTTTTTATCTCACCCTGTATCAAATCGCAGCCAATTAGGTTGCAAAAAGTTTCCAGGAACCCTAAAAATACCAGAATTTAATAATTAATTAGAATATCTACATACTAGATATTATCTGTCTGTCCCTCCGTCTGTTGAAATCAGGATCGAGATCGCAATATTTATGATAGAGCTCTAAAATTTTGCACACACATTGCAAGTACTCCTAGGATGTTTGGTATTGCAAACGGCATATATCGGTTCACGTTTTGGTGTAGCCCCCATATAACAGTAACCAACCAGACCGATTTTCTAGTCGAATTGCCTTTAATTTGGCATTATAGGTTTTTCTTTAAATAACACCAAATTACCGTACCAAAAATTATTAATATTTTTTTTAATTATTTTTCTATTATTTCGTTGCCCAGTGTAAAAAACAACATATTTTATTTATTTATTTTTGCGACACACATTTGTCCTTTTAATAAAAAATAAACATATTTTTTATTATGTGATAAAAAAATATAAACTTTGTTCTTAAAAAGAAGCCAGCAGTTGGACTGATGTAGACAGACCCATTCGTACCTTTTCTAAGAAGGAGATTATACATAACTATTATTTTATTATAAAACAACAACAACATCATAAGTGATAAAAAAATTGTTTACAATTCGAAATCATGTCATGGATACACCACTTGGTGGTTTAATAAAAATATGACATTTTCAAGAAGTTCAAACATTATTTGCCACCTATTACGAATTCATGCTTAGAATTATTCAATTGACTCTATGGAAAACTTATAATCAAATCTGTTTAAAAAATATAGAGAAGCTCGAGCAAGTCTTCTGCTAAAAAAAGCATCAGAAAAATTTCGGTCTATAGAAAACATTCAGAAGATCGTCTGTTAAAAGAAGGCCACGTATATAATGCAGATCTTTAAAATGCCTCCAAATAATATTCTGTCCATAGAATACCTCAGAAATGTATTGTGCCCATAGAAGGCCATCGATATACATATAATATTCCTTGAAAGGTTTCATAAAAGTAGCATAACAGGTTTCCTATCTCTTCAAGTGATCCAAAAAATGTTCGTCACTATCACAAAAAACAAAACTCTCCTATCACTGTTTCTACAGGAAAACTGTGTAACTACATGCAAACTATTCTGCCGCAGATATTCCAATCAGTGCACAAAGTAAATATTCAATATTGACATAGGTCAGACAACAACAAAAAATGAACAGATTCGTTTTAAAATATATTCTTTCTTTTATTGAGAAGTGGTTGTGTCTTTGTTTTTTATTTTTTGTTTCTATCATTCGATTCGAGGGAACGTGAGATTTTTCAAAAATTGGTATTCAATTCTGGTAACTCATTTGAATTTAAATGTAACACATAATATGAATAATGTTAATTGTAATGATCGTTACGTAAATACAATGAAAAATATTCTTTAAAAAATCCACGCCGTGTGTGGCCTTTGAAAAAATATTCTTTAAAAAATTGTTAAAAGAATATTTGAAAAAATATTCTTTTAACAATCCACGCCTTGTGTAGCCTTTGAAAAAATATTCTTTTAACAATCCACGCCTTGTGTAGCCTTTGAAAAAATATTCTTTAAAAAATCCACGCCTTGTGTGGCCTTTGAAAAAATATTCTTTTAACAATCCACGCCTTGTGTAGCCTTTGAAAAAATATTCTTTTAACAATCCACGCCTTGTGTAGCCTTTGAAAAAATATTCTTTTAACAATCCACGCCTTGTGTAGCCTTTGAAAAAATATTATTTAAAAAATCCACGCCTTGTGTGGCCTTTGAAAAAATATTCTTTAAAAAATCCACGCCTTGTGTGGCCTTTGAAAAAATATTATTTAAAAAATCCACGCCTTGTGTGGCCTTTGAAAAAATATTCTTTAAAAAATCCACGCCTTGTGTGGCCTTTTGAAAAAATAATTTTTAAAAAATCCATGCCTTGTGCCTTATAGATATCCTTGAGGAAATATAAATCCGTGAAATTCCGTATAAGTTTTAAATCCATACAATACTTTTTTTTGGCGTATTTGATACTTTATTATTTATTTTTTATCTCTTGGTTTCTCTTTGATAAATTGGAACAATATTCAAAACGTTTCTTAATACATTTGTTTTTTTTTTTTTTTTTTTGGAGATTCTCGGTTACTCTATGTGTGTATGGGTGTAGAAGTGTGTGCGTTCTTGTGTACATTTGTAGTATTTTGTTCATTTGGCTGGCATCCTTCGATAGTTCTTTCCTTAATCTTTACATATTTTCGCTGACATTTCCTGTAACGGTTCCAACTCCTTGCTCGTTATCAAATCAAACTCCTGGACAAAATAATAGAAATGCTTATAGCACGTATTGACATGCGCCTCAGCTCCAATGCTAACAATACGATCGAAATGATGTATATAGACATGGACAAACACCCGAAATAGTCGCGTCAATATCTTGCGACTCAACGCCGGAAATGTTTTCGGAAATGGTACATCGGTGGATACGGGAAATACGGCCTCATTATTGATCTGGGCCTCAGCCCAATCCATTAACATTTCGATATATTTGGGAGCTGGTAGCGATGTGGGTTTTTTGTAATTTTCCGAATCGGCCCATAAATATTCATACCGTGAACCGCCACTCATTGTCGGGCAGGTGGTTTCGTTACAATATTCCGAGACGGTGCCATAAATGAGATTTATACGATTGAAAAAATCAACTACATGCACCGCAATCCAGTCATTGAGATTTTCCCCTTCCGGTAGGCATACAGCTTGTCGTAAATTAATACCCGATTGTAGACTGGCCTGTGCCTGCTTGTGCAGAGAGTAACGTATTGTACCGGCTGTGAAGCGTTTCTTTGGCCTAAAGGTTTTACCCTTTTGAAAGAATTCTAAAAAGCCATTTAATGCCATGGTTTCTTTGGGTTGGATTAGATTTCTTCGCTAGGGGGGTTTCGGATACTTTAATGGATCCTCATTCGAAATCTTTAGAGAGAGTGAGGGAGATCAATGTTTCGATTTTATGTGTCTGTTTGTCTGCCTGCCTCTGTGTTACTGCTAAGAAATGCCAAAAAAGCCACTGGAAATAAAAAGCGGGTAGAGGTGGTTTGGTTTAAATATGAATCACAACAACAAGAATAATAAATCTTCTTCTTCAAATCTATATGTTAATGAATTGCAAACTATGTTGTATACAACACCCCTCACCACCACCACCACCCTTCTCTAGATATGTAATCACCACATACTCTTGAGTGTAGGAATTTATTATCGGTGTCGTGATGTGTGACAAAATATAGAATTTACGGTTCAATGGCATTGTTTTGTTTTTTTTTTTATTTTCGCAGCAGCAACTTATCGAAACAGAAAGTGTTTTGGTCAGAATTATGTTTGAAATGGAAGCTGAGGCCGGGGTAATGACTAGTTTTAGAAACCAAATAACATATCTATATATAGATACAATTTACTGAAACGTTGTCATCATGGCTTGTGAGATATACGAACCTAAAAGTCCCAAATCCTACTCGGCCAACGATTCTCACACTTCAGGTCACATTCTAGAAAGGATTTCTACAAAATCAACCAATTGAATTTCATTTTGTCTATGTCCCATGTCCCATTTTGGCACAGAACCTGAAATATGGTTAAAATATTTAATTTCGTATATGATTTACAACAAATTTTTGGAAATAAAAACAACAAAACAACTTAATTTTGTGCAAAGAATTTTGTAAATGGGCAATGGGTGTGAATTTTTTAATGAAAATTTTTTTCAAAGGCCACACAAGGCGTGGATTTTTTAAAGAATATTTCTTCAAAGGCCACACAAGGCATGGATTTTTTAAAGAATATTTTTTCAAAGGCCACACAAGGCGTGGATTTTTTAAAGAATATTTTTTCAAAGGCCACACAAGGCGTGGATTTTTTAAAGAATATTTTTTCAAAGGCTACACAAGGCGTGGATTTTTTAAATAATATTTTTTCAAATGCAACACAAGGCGTGGATTTTTTAAGGAATATTTTTTCAAAGGCTACACAAGGCGTGGATTTTTTAAAGAATATTTTTTCAAAGGCTACACAAGGCGTGGATTTTTTAAAGAATATTTTTTCAAAGGCTACACAAGGCGTGAATTTTTTAAAGAATATTTTTTCAAAGACTACACAAGGCGTGAATTTTTTAAAGAATATTTTTTTCAAAGACTACACAAGGCGTAGATTTTTTAAAGAATATTTTTTTCAAAGACTACACAAGGCGTAGATTTTTTAAAGAATATTTTTGTTGTCAGTTGTTTTCGGGGTGTAATCAACGACCTTTTCCATTGCTTTAAAATTTCTTCCCCATCTTAGTTAATTATTTAAGGGATACAATCCATTTTGGTCCATAAGGAAACCGAAGATTCACAAGGTTTTCACGATGCACAGAGGGTCCGGCATATGTTATTCCGGGTAGATTTCAACCCTGTACATCGTAGAAACCGCCTTCCCATTCACCAGCCGGGAAGATTCGCCTAGTGGGAGATTGGCAACTCCCTTGGATAACAAATACAATATTTAATTTTCTAGTCTCCGTCATTCCCTGTTTTATAATATTGAAACTGTGCTTTGTCTGGAGCATTTGTGAAATATTTGTGTCTTATCAAATTATAACAGTAAACACACAATAATTTTTATGACACATAATCATCTAAATCTAAAGTTGAAATCTATATATGTATATCATATGGACCATATAAAATTATTATTGTTTTGTTTTCGTCTAGGAAAAAAACATTTACGCAAGTTTAAGCGGGGATAATAGAGACAACAGAAGAAGACTTTATCTAAATACTGGTATAAATTAAATTTTTTAACTACAGCACATCAAAACCTGTATCTTCCAAAAATAAAGCACATAGATATGCATAATTGCAATAAAGAAATAATCCAAAAAGGTAAGACTTAATGGTATTGGAATATAAATAAATAGATTAAATTATTTGTGATTTCATTTCGTTGTGTCTATCCCATAAAAGATCAATGACATTTAATTATCAAGGATTTTTTAAAAAAGTAAATTTTTTCACATAACTGCCTTGCGCACAGAAAGTCATATAGGCTCAATTATCGTTGTAGCAAAGATTTTGGTTTGGTCACATTTGGATTGATGTTAGTCCACCAATCCAAATGTGACCAAAATCTTAAAATTGCCATATCCGACTTCGAGAATTTCAACAGAATAATGGCAAGTGGCTCTCTACGACTAACAGGTCTGCCATTCAATACTGACTACTCCAAAAATGGATTGCAAAGCTTTCAAGCTTTGACTTAGTCAAATAACTTATTTATTTGTTCCTAAGTTTTTTTCACTCACACTTCCTTGGTACGGTTATTTCGCTTCAGATATAGTTCTTCGGATAAAGTTCCTAAATATATTATCAGTTTTACATCTTATAATTGGTATACCAAAAATCTCCAAATTTACGCGATACCATTTTGCATCGATTGGCGAATGTTATGTGTGTGGATTGATTAAAGTCGATTCATATTGAATTTTGTTCGGTTTCATGTCAAAGGTCGAAGATGTTCATACTATTCTATTTCAAATGAGATTGTGTCGCGTAATTGGTGCTGGCATCTGTCCATAGGAGAAAGTCTTAAATTCCCAGCCGAAGGCCTGATATCCACAACAAATATTCTATTACAAGAAGATTCCGCCTGATTTGTCATTATACCCTCATCCTTATGGCTATTGAGGGTATCTACATACACTTTGCTGCGGCAAAAATGTGGCTCACCGAAATATTGGTTGGAAATATTGGCCGGCTGCGGCATACGACAAGTCACGAAGGGTGTAACCGATTCATTTAACATTTTTACATTGTTAAATGTATTTCAAACTTAAATCAAGTTAGAAGATGAAGGATTTCGGTCCACTGATTTTGGTAAATCTCATGTAAAGGGAACGGGAAGTACAATTTCATCGAAACTTTGCCAGTCGTAATATGTCTTCCTTATCTAGATTACTTTTGATGATGGGTCCCCTCGTCGGTCCACATCTTCTGCCACCATTTGATACAAACTTTGCAAGTCGTAATAATTTTACCAAACTTTGATAATGTCCTAAGATGGCCCCCATCTGTCCTTGTCAACATTTTGAAAATTTATTAATTCAATAAAATGTCTATTTTGATCCAAACTTTGCACATCATAATATTTTTTAATAAAATGTCTATTTTGATCCAAACCATTATTTTAAAAATTTGTTAATTCGGTATCAAGCAAATGGAATGTCCGATTTGATTCGAACTTTGCAAGTCGTAATACTTTTACCAAACGTCGGTTATGTCCGAAGATGGGACCTGTGGGTCCACTCCGTCTGGCAGTTACCTCCCCCACAAACTGTCAACTTTTTGAAAATTTGTTAATTTAATTTCAAACGAATGGAATGTCCAAATATGGCATATCATAATACTTTTTCCAACCTTCGATCATTTCCGAAGATGGAACCCATCGTTCCACTCCCTCTGGTACCCCACAAACATATATTTGTATATAATAACCTCTTCCTGTACTTCTGGTTATATATTTTATAAAAAAATTCCATATATAAAGCGAAAAATAAAACCAGTTCGTAGTAATTCCGTAGACAAACCATAGGCTACGCGTATACATCTGTCCGACTGAAACTATTTACTTGAACCTTCTGGTTCACGCAGAAGGGAAGCCCACAAATGGAAATAGAAATATCAAGTAGAATAAAACATCTCGAACATGGTATTTCAAAATGGATGGGCTGCGCACAAGACCGACGCGCTCGGAAATCTTTTTTAAGCTCTATAAGTAAGTAATTATAGAAGAAAGTCTTTGTTGGGGTACCATTGGACTCTGTTCAAAATTTAATCTCAAACAGACACCCGTTCGAAATATATATGGCTGCTATGCAATCGGACAAACATTACGAGTTTGGTGCACCATTTATATAAAATCGGACGAAATTATATACGTGGGAGCTATATCTAAATCTGAGCCGATTTCAATGAAACTTTGCCAGAGATTAATTTATATTAATTTCAGTACATTGTACAAAATTTGTAGCAATCAGTCAAACTTTGTATCTTTAGTGTACATAAAATTAGACGAAACTATATATGGAAGCTATATATAAATCTAAATCGATTTTCACGAAACTTAACACACATCATTGTGAAGGGTATACAAAAATATCCAGAATGTGTACCAAATACAAATACTGATGCAATATCACGTTGACTTTTTCCGTTTTTATAAGCGATTTCAATTGCAATAACATTACAGTTAAAATCGCAGACTCATCATCCGCTCCAAAATTGATACCTATTATTGGTGCTTAGTGAATTTGAAATGACATGGGAAAATACAAGTGTTTCAGCAGAACTTTGGAAACTTATATCCCAGGATGACACCGCTTAAATCAGGTCCCTTAAAACTATGTATGGTAAAAACAAGTTTAAAACAAAACAATTCCATTGACTTAATTGTCTCACAATTTCCATTCCCATGACTTAATTGTCTCACAATTTCTACGCAGTCTAAAAAAATATTCGATGGGAGTCAAAAATAATGAATGAAGAAATGTCACATTTAATATAAATACTTAACATATTTCCTTTTGTAAATATGAATATAGTAATAGCCTAGACAGACGACAGCCTTAATTTGAATTAACAGCCTTATACCATAGACAGACGACAGCCTTAATTTGCATTAAAAAGTTCTTAATTTGAATTAAAATTTACCCTGACACAGTGTGGTGAAGTTTCAAAAATGCATTTATGAACCAGTTTTTTGTTTCAAAACTATTGTTTGTCTATGTGTAGGAAGAAAATATTGACATTTGTTTACAATATTTTTTAGGATTACATCTTTTTGAAATTGATACATAGCAGGAAGGAAAA